CTCTGTTAGCTGCAAATGCTGCATGGACAGTAGATGAGTACAAATAGCGGCAGAATAAATGCGGTGGTGTGGTATCTGTGACGCGACCCACGATGAACTTCAACAAGACAAATCTAATATGGCCACACTATCCAGCACACTCTTCGAGGGCAAACTTTCACACAACACCTAAACATGTCTAGACATTTACACCCTAATAGTTGCAAATCTATGCCTGTTCAGAAGGAACCGATTTTTTCCGTGTATTTTTAGGAATATTCATCGCTTAACATTCGTCGACATCGCCGACAACAGCGTCGACAACGCGTCGGGCAACGTCGAGCACAGCGACAACAGGGGTACGGCAGTATCCGGGACGTTCCCACGGCCCCTTGCCCGTTGCTCTCATCGGGATTCGAACTCACGGCGTGCCCTCAGCCAAACGCAAGTGCGAAGTGCAAATGCAAAATAGACCTGACACTCCTGGTCAACCGTACCTCGGCAAGTTGCGAAGTTACCTTGCGGCAGGTAACTTGAAGTTAACTTAGACAAATTGACTTGGCCCACACAAAGTTAGCGTGAAGTAAGAGAAGTTACTTTTGCCTATGCCACCGCGGGGCCACCGCGGACGTCTTCCGCGCCGTGCATCCGGGACATGCTCCCTTGTTGTGCGCCATCATCATGTTGGTCGAGGGTGACTTCCTCTCCCCCTCCTTCCTCCCCGCGTGCACAAAGCACAATGATGTCAACACCCCCTTCTTCCTCCACACGTCCCTGATCCTTTTCGCGACCATCGCGAGCATCCGCACTCCTCGCACCCCGCGGCGCGTGGGTCAGCTTCGGGCTGTTGCTGTTGCCGCAGGCGGTGGCGGAGTGTTCACTCAAGCAGATGCTGGCGGCCACGGAGGCACGTGCGTTTGTGGTTGGGATGGTGGTTGCGGCAGAAGGGAATGACCGAGGAATGGGGGAAAACTGAGGGCATGGCTGCGTGAAATGCATAAGATAACTTAAGCACATGAACTTCAAAGCCATTCTCAAGTCCCTGCTTATGCTACCGTTGAGAAAGGGGGCATCTGCAGCCAACGAGCAGGAGATAGCACTCATATTGCCTTCAAAGTTTGCACAAGTGAGATGGGCTTGACAAGTTATGTTGTCGACTCATACTGCCAAGTTCTGGCCAAGCTCCGCAGGTTGCCAAGTTAGTTGGTGGCAGGTAACTTAAAGTTAGCTGAGACAATTTGACTTAACCCGCGAAAAGTTAACTTGAAGTTAGAGAAGTTATTTTGTAGGGAAAAAGTTAGTCGGAAAAGTAACTTTGTTAATAGCCGAAGGAGAGTATTTGGTGGTGTTTGTGGCTTTTTAGCTTACTAGTATTACAGAGTACATGACCTTTTCTTACTACAGGTGTAGAGAAATCAATATAGAACTGGAACCTATCAACTCCCAGTCGTCAGTGTTCTACTTTCCAGGCCTAGTTCAGAACCGGGACAAATCACGTCCGAAGAGCCCTGAGAAACGAGCACGTCACTCAGCAGCAAGGAGGGCAGATGGAAAGGAGTCAGGTGCTCACAGTTAATGAGCCTGCAGTGGATATGATCAGTCGTCGCACCATACTCGTCTGCAAGGACAGCTGACACTTACCAGAAGGTAGGAATCAAAATCCTGGAGGAGGGATCAGTCGTCAAAACAAACGGAAGTCCGCACACTCACTTGTTCCTCGTACTCAGCGCCATGCTAACATAAGCGGACCGCCAAAGCAGCCACGCCAGCCTGCCAGCCTTCTTCGGTTTAGGTCCCTTCGCAGCTTTTGTCCGGTCATACAAGGCATGGCTACGCGCCAAATTACCATACATAGCAAGGTCATCACCAAAGATGCGACGCACTCTTCGCCAACATACGCAAGCGTGCCCATGTTCTTCCACTTGAACGGTCGCGAGACGTCCTGGCTCTCAAGCATCCTATTGAGATTCTTGGCCACGTATTTACCCTTCTGGTTGGCGACTTTAGTGCAAACGCTGCATCAGCTGCATTCGACAACTTCGCGGATCCACCACATCACATACCCTGCGCTGTTGCGGGAAGCATAATCCCCTGGATCATGGCAGCATCACCAACAGCCCACACATCTGGGTTGGGCACGGGCGCGTCGCCTTCTTTCGAGGGCTTCATGAGGAGCTGGCAGTGGTCGTCCGTGATCACACTCCCAGTCTTGGGATGTTTCACAGCCTCGGTTATAGTTTCTATCAACGGGTTGGGCGAGAGCCCTGTGCTCCAGACGAGTAAACCGAATGGGACTGTGGAGCTTATGTCAGGTGATCGTAGCGGAAGAGGCCCAGGGCACGCACCTTCGCCCTGCTCCTTCACGAAAATCCTGCCCTGCACAGACGTTCGGTGGACGACTCAGGATCAACCGATAATACATAGCGCTGATCACGTACAGCCTCTACCCCTTCCACATGGTGGCTCGTGAAGATGTCGATCCCCTCTCTCTTGAAAGCTTTCACCGCGTACCTACGCATGACTCTTCAGTTCGATGTCCTGCGAAGCATGAAAACTCGCTCGACACACTTCATCAAGTCTTCGTCGAACATACTTAAAATCTTCGGCGCTACGTCATACAGTGAGATCCTCGCCAGGGGTGCAAGGTGCGGATAGTGTTTCTTTATGTCTGCATTCAGGAGATCATGCAGCTCCGCGCCAAACTCGATACCGGTGGGGCCTCCGCCGACAATGCAGAAGTGCAATATATCTCTACGGGCCTCATCAGAGAGAAGGGGCTCATTGGCTTGTTCGAAACCTGCATGTGCACATATTTTCTAGTCAGACTAGTACTATGAGTTCAGCACGTAGACGTCGAGACGCACATTCCAGGATCCTCGTTCTGATAGACCGAGCATCCTTGATGTCCTTCAGGAAGTATCCGTGTTCTTTCACTCCAGGTATTCCGAAGGCTGCTCATGATAATATTGCAAAGTGCAATGTTCGCTGTCGTCGTACCTCAGGCTCGAACATCCGTGTTACAGACATACACCCACTCTGCGAGTACGCTCCAACTGAAATGACGAGCTTATCGTACGGAATACTGAAGGGGGTGCCAGTGCCGGGGTATGCGGTGGTGGTAGCGTCAGCACGGGGCGCGGTGCTCTGTTCGCCGGGGAGAGCAGGGGTTGCGGGCATCTGTGGGATACGACGGGGCCGGTGAGGAAAATGACGGGACTTGTGAGCTGTGCGTTGCTCACACATGTGAGTGCCTTGGACTTGAAATCTGAAGCACGGACGTGAGATGCCACCACTAACACACGTAAACGACTGTTTACCTATGGCATCACACCAGGCTTGGTATGATTTCTGTCGCAGACACAGTAAGCACACGCATGATGTAAGAACTATACTCTCGGAAGCTCACAACTTGAGGTGTATATCTCCGTACCTGTACGCTATTTAGTCTATCTACCTGAGCCCCTGCTCATTCTACGCACCGGCTCAAGGGCACAGCGGTATTCTAATGATCCGACCGCACAGCTCGCAAGCAAGGGGGTGAAATTGAAGTACGTATTGGGCGATACCATAGTCACATCTACATATACCGCCGTTCAGAATGAGTCGCACATGGACAGAATCCCCTTCAAAGGTGTAAACCAGGCACGGCGGCTCACCGTAACGCGATTTGTCTATCCCCTTCAGAACTTCATAACCTCCCCATCCTGAACCAAGAATAACAACCTTATCCTTTCCTTGCACTGCTGACGAGTGAAACGAGGACTGTGATAGACCCCTCACCGCGACTGGCAACACTGGTGCACGGGCCAAGCTAGCTTTCGCGCAAAGCATGATAGCGGAACGAAGTAAAACTAGGCCATCACAGCTATAACTGCTAGCAGCATATATACTACATGTACTGCTCTTGATTTCATCGTGGTGCAGGCTGAAGGAATTGTCGACGTCATGTCGAAGGACACTATACTACGGTAAGTCCCGAGTGTGACATATCCGTGTTAGACAATTTCGCGTAATTCTGTCTATGTCAGACTCTTGTGGCAAACTTGAAAGCCATGTCCTGTGAATACTTATCCTTCTCGCTCATACACTCTTGTCCATTGCTCGGACGTGCTTCATTAGCCTTTGCTTAGGCCGCTGAAGGACGGTGTTTCTGTCAAACGGAAGTAAGCAAAATGAAGATAATTGTAACGGTTTACCCGTCCTGACTCATGTCATTATTTCAGTGAATTGACAGGATAATACTCTACCCAGTCCGTACTTCGGAATGCAAAACTGTCTCAAGCTCGCCATTGTGGGCGGAGGTCCCTCAGCGTTCTATGTAGCGTCGCGGTTGATGTCCCTCCTGCCGGCCTCGTCCTTTCATGGACCAAATCTCAGGATTCATATGTTTGATCGACTATGGGCACCACATGGGCTTGTGAGATATGGTGTTGCACCAGATCACCCTGAAGTCAAGGTACATAGTCTGTATTCTTGAAGTACTTGTACTGGAGGCTTAACGTCACTCTCCACAACGTAGAACTGCACACATAAGTTCGATGAAGCAGCGCAAGACCCCCGTTTCTCATTCTTCGGGAACGTCGACTTCTCATCCTCATCGACTTTGAACACCAACATGTCAGTCCCAACGTCGCGGAGTCCGAAGACTACAAGTCATCCTCTCAGCATGCTGTTCAACAACTATTCCCATCTCCTCCTAGCCACCGGTGCTCCTTCCCCCATTCTTCATCCGGCTTTGCCACTCTCAAGTTACTGCATTCCCGCGCTCTCGCTCGTTCACTGGTATACTGACCATCCTCGCCTCTCTCAGCCTCCACCCGCCCTCGACAAAGTAGAGCACGTCGCGCTCATAGGTCAAGGCAATGTCTCTCTTGACATAGCAAGAATGCTCTTGACCCCCCCTGATGTTCTCGCCAAATACGACGTTCCTGAGCACGTCCTCGAAGTCCTTCGCCGGTCTGCCGTGAAGCACGTCTCCATCATCGGGCGTCGAGGCCCTTTCGAAGCCGCCTTCACCACGAAGGAGCTAAGGGAAATGACGAACCTGTCCGAGGCGGCCATGGTACCCGTCGACCCGTCGCTACTCGTCCCCACCGAAGGCAGCAAGGTCACTCGGCAGCAGTCTCGTACCATCGATTTATTGCAGAAAGGCTCTAAGAACAAGTACGGTACGACAAACAAGACCTGGTCTCTCGATTTCTTCCGGAGCCCGACAGGACTCGCCGTGCCCGCCAGCGGATCTTCAGGAAAGCCAGTACTGACGCTCGGACACACGACGCTGGACCCGGCCACCTCCCGAGCAGTACTGACCTCCGAGACGTCCTTCACAACCACCGACCTCGTCGTCACCTCCCTCGGCTATCACTCGGAGCCCACTATGCCGTTCTATGATCCCGCGCTCGGTCACCTGCGGAACGTCAGCGGCCGGGTCGTCTGCGTGCCCGAGGACAACGCGGGCTCGACCTCCGTGCTGAAGAACGTGTACGCCTCGGGCTGGGCCGCGACGGGCGCGAAGGGCGTGCTCGCGAGCACGATGATGAACGCGTATGCTGTGGCGGACACGATCCTCTCCGACTACTTCGCCGCGCTCCCGGGGTCGGTGCCCGGCGCGTCTGTGCAGACCATACCCGTCTCCCCGCCTGAGCCTTCCTCGGGTGACCTGGCGGAGTCTGATGGCGCGGTCGGGAAGACTGTGATGAATGCCTCGCCGCATCCTGAAGATCCTCCAGCAGAGATCGTAGAACTGGTGAAGCAGGGATCGGTGACGAGTTATGAAGATTGGAAGAGGGTGGACGAGGAGGAACAGAGGAGGGGGCGGGAGAAGGGTAAGGAGAGGGAGCGGATCAGATGGGAGGAGGCTAGGAGGTTCCTGGGCAAAGCTTAGATTTAGCGCCCAACTTATTTTGGGACGAGCATTAATGATAGGTGGGTTTGGCTAGTAGGGGGATTATATACTTGGTGACGAGTCATCACAACTCAGCCATTTACCACATTGAGGCGCAAGTGGACCTTCTGCATGTATCTATACGTGACACTAATACAGCCAACGTATCTACAGCGATGTCAAATCTAACTCGGTGCTTGACTCGGTGACAAGTACCCAGTTACTGTGCATCGCAGTGCTGTGCAGGCTGTAATTGACCGACGCTCTTCAGTGCGAATACGACTATACTGTGTTCTCGTCCATTGTCGCGACTTCGGAAGGTGCCTGGCCTGCCGCGGATCCCATTGTCCGCTTCCGTTGGGCTACATAGGCCAGTCAGGAGAGAGAGGCGATGTCTCGTCCTCGAGGACCGTGTTGTCCGAATTGACATGAAACAGATGAACGGGAGCTTATGTAGACAGGTATTCTGCATCTGTATCCATTCAACTTGCAGGAAGAACTTGGATACGGCACGTCAATATCTCTCTGCGCGATATAAAACGGACGCGCTTGCGCGGGAGGCGACAAAGTTCTCAAACGAGAGGCCCTGCATTCACAAGAAGCGCGAACAAACATCCCACTGAACCTACATGATAATCCCGACGACGTAAGCCTCTTATAATTTGCCCTATTATCATCATAGTGATATTATTCTAGAGTTTGTGCTTCAGGACCTTGTCTGATAACTGATGACGCACCTGAACAATCGCCAGTGGCGACCTCTATGTCAGCCCTGGCAATACCAAACGACCGATACGGAGTGGTGGTCGTACCCACTTCCTCCAATCAAACCGATAATACACCTGACATGCCAGAGGACCTTGATGGAGGAACTTCGCCCGTACAAGCCAGTACAGCCTTGCCCATAACATCCCTTTCGGCACCTGTTTACATGCCTCCACCGACTCCAGTGGTCGTCGTATCGTCCCAGCCGACGGTCACGATCGCCGAGAGTCTCACCTCTGCGAGCCACGACGGCACGCTTTGTCTGGGCCTAGCGGGGAGTGCGCTTGGTGTCGCTATCGTCGCGGCGGCATTTTACCTGTGGACCTGGCGAAGCGCGCGGGTCCTGGGACGGACCCTGTCGAAGGAGAAGCTGCCCGCAGGGGAATGGATCCCTGCAGCCACGTCTACAGATGTGGGAGGGCAGACTGTTATGGATCATTCGCACAAAGGAGTTGCACCTTCATCTGAGATTCGTAGAGATGGGTCGCTGAGGGTCGAAACCATAGTACCGCGTCGACAGAGCATAACAGGTCGGGTGAACGCCTTGGAAGGGCATGTGGGTTGTCTAGAAGGGCAAGTGGAATATTGTCTAGAGAGACAGATAGAACACGATCGTACTTTGGAAGGAGATCCTCCGGCTTACTCCATACCAGAAGGCAACGAGTTCTTGACCCCTTGACATCAATAGCACGGTATGTAGTTGACCTACATAGCTGGCTATAGATAAACAGTACGAGGACATGAGGATGGCATGTACTGATACACGCGCGTAAATTGGATACATTCGCAACTCGTCTGCTAGCGCTATGAGGACATCAGCGATTAATATTTCAGTATGTAGGTGGTTGCCACCGAGAGTGAAATTCCTTGAGGCTGCTGTAATATTCGAATTCGTGGAGGAGCTGGCAATGAATTCAATTCTTCCGTTGTGCATCTGCTACACTTGGCAGAATATTGCAATTGTCAGCATAGACCGACGTGGTGATGTCCTCGTTCGTCAACAGCAGTCCCGGATTTTTGCCGTAGTATCTCTCAGTCTAAAATTCCCGATAGTTCGTCTCCTGGAGATCGAAGCAGTAAGAGGTAGAAAGTCAAACAAATACCAATGTACCACACTCGCCTGCCACATCCTCCGGGAGCTATTCGTGATTGGGCACACACTTGACAGCTGCAGACTGCGCTCGGATACGCGCCCAATATTACCTTTGATCCCGAATGTCAGGACACGTCCATCGATACCGCGGCTATTGGCCAGGACGGCTTCGCGAAGCAATACGTGTATAACCGCCGGGAAATCCGTGAAGGCCCTCATTTGCCGCCTGAACATGTACTGTATGGTCCCCGCCACATATCCCTCATAATTTATACTTTCTTGCTCAAAAGCCCGTTCGTTACGCATGTCATTCCTTACTCGTCGCCGGTCGCGGTTGGATTCTCTCACCACTGCCTCTACCACATCAGACACGTCGAAGCAGACGGGCATCGTCAATCGCGTCTCCAAACTATTTTCGAACGAGCCTACGCCGGGACACGCAAAGGGACACTCGAGGTTGAAAAGTTTCGGCAGGGGTATCTTGGGCAAGGCGAGCAAACGGAAGGCTGATGAATCTGCTCGGTATAACGAATGGAATCAAAGTGACGAGAGCCAGGAGTACGATCCGTCAATCCGAAGGCCTAGTGGACTAGGCGAGAGGAAGGAGTCGACGTCTTCAGATGGATCCGAAATTTCGTGGGTGGAGGGAGGAGGGCATTTGCGCCATCTGGCTTCCCAAGCGCAGGGACAGCACGGACAGGACGAGCAGGCGCGGTCACCCTCTGGAGGGGGGACACTAGCACGCATGATCAGCTCTCCAGAACTGCTTGCTTACTTTCCTTCACCTCCTGGTACAGTCCTCAAGTTTGACCACCCTCCGCAGCCTTTCCCCTTACCCGATCAAGTCCTACCCGTCATCCTAGGTTTCCTGCCTCCAGAGAAGATTCCTCAGGCAGCGCGAATATCCCGCGCGTTTCTATCTGCTGCTCGTCAGGTACTGTACAAGGAGGTCAACTTAGCCCAAGTCCCCCGTACGAGGGTACATTCCTGTTTGGAGACCCTGGGCCGAGTCAGCGAGGCAGCAAAAAGCATCCACACCTTCACATGTTTGCTCGAGAAGGACGACGTCGACGCTGACCTTGCACTCTTCAGGGCTCTGCGGAACATGTCGAATCTAAAGTCTCTTACGCTATCTCGTTTGCCTCTCCGGTTGACGGGACGCCGATCGAGAGTTGGGAACACGCTGGAGTTTTCGCTGACGTCCTTGACATTACTGGAGACGAATCTAGCGCAGGACGACCTCACAGCGTTGTTCGCCTTCCTCTCCAAGCAGTCGAGTATCAAGACACTGTCCCTACCAAATCTTCGCATAAACACAGAGGACTCAGTCCCATCTAATGATCCCTCCGTCCTTCCTATCCTGTCGTCTCTCGTCATCCCCCCGCCTTTGATATCCCTCTTCGTTCCGACCCGGCCTGTGACGGATCTGACCATTAATATTTATGAGACCCTCGTCGAAGGGCTACGTCCAAGCACGCTACTGTCCTTTCTCCCTGAAGCTCGGAAGCGCGTCACCAAGCTGTGCATATCGTTCCAGGAGACGATTGACCGTAGGACTGTCGAACGTGTTCTGGGCGCCGTGCAGAAGGAGTGCCATGGGATGGTGGAAGAGCTACAAGTGCGGTGGGCGACAGGAAGCACCTCGGTACGTCGTTGTCTTTCACCCTCAATCCTCCTCATGTCATGCACTCCCAAACGATATTTGCTATATCCAGCTTACTGATCGTTCCTGACAGGTGCTCTACAAACAAATATCCGCCATCCTACCAAAATTCACCGTCCTGCACACATTGCGACTCCGCGTTCCCGCCTCCTCCCTCCTCGCGCACGCCCCACCAGTCCTCTCCACGCCGTCCTCTCCCGTAATTCTGTCTACTCCCTCTTCTCCCGCAATCCTATCTAGTCCCTCCCCCTCCCTCACCCCCTCCCGCACACCGTCCGTGTCAGCGTCGATCATGACCTCCGCCTCCAGCACCGCGCCCTCCCTGTCCTCCAAAAAATCCACGCACTCCGTCCGGCGGAAGCCCGTGCCGAAGCTGGAGCCGCACGAGCTGGAGTCGCTCAATCTCCTCTCGCCGTCATCGCTGACCTTCAGCCCACCCGCGCCGTCGTCTTCCAGCTTCTCGGAGCCCGCGGAGGAGACGGCGGCGTCGAAGGAGCACACGAGGGAGCGCGCGCTGCTATCCGCGTGGTCGAAGAGCAACGCTGCGCTGGCGCGCGTCGAGTTTGTCTCGGGCGCGGAGTGGGTTAGAAGGGAGGGCGGCGCGGGCGGGGGCGCGTCGAGGAGGAAGGATAAGTGGGTGTTCGCCACTATGAGGAGAGACTAACTAGTCATATAAGTAGTCCGCGTCCACTCACTATATGTTATTTATACTCAAGGAGGTCGACAGCGCGGTCGACTCCGCCGGGCAGGTACTCGGGAGGGAAGTAGAGTAATAGCCCAGTAATAGGATAACCAAGAATGCATGCACTGATTCGTCTGATAATGGATCGCCAATTATACGACAATTAGTGCGACAGGGTATGTACATACAGGTCGGTAGTGTGCATTAGCGATGGCATCGGGAATAGGATAGGATACTAGTCCGGGGCAAATCCCCGTAGATAGCTGGGCGATATCACAGGAGAATAGATATCCCACAAAGAATGGATGCTGATAAGCCAGCTTTTGGAGCGACATGAGGCAGGAGGCAAGAACACGAGCGAACAACGAAATAGACAACGAAAGCAGATAAACAGAGCAATCGAAACTTGCGAGGCTTGCGGGATTTTCTTTCGTTTTTATCCAAACAACTTCATATTCGAACAAGCAGCTATGATACAGTGAGCGCAGTTGTTTCTCTCTAAGCAAAACACCTGACCTGGAGTGGCGTAGAATAGAAGAAAACAAGAAGGGGGATTGTAGATTTCAAACTAGATGGGAATCGTAGGTAACTTCATCTAAAGTTGGCGTGGTCTAATGAAGTCTAGAGTGGCATGAGATCTATGTGTTCTATGGAAGTAGAATCTAAAATCCTTATTAATCAGACCTGGGACGCTTGGCACCGTTGACTGCCTCGGCCGCGCCTTCCGCGGTAGAAAAGTATTCGAGCGACGCCTTGGGGTCGGCCTTGATGGTCTTGCCGCCCTCTTGCCAGTTGGCGGGGCACACCTCACCATACTTGTCCTGAAAGCAGGGACGGGGTGAGCAATCATCGGGGTGGCATACGGCATATCAGATACTCACGGTGAACTGGAAGGCCTTGATCAGGCGGATGGTCTCCTCAACGGAGCGGCCAACGGGAAGGTCATTGACAGTGATTTGGCTATGCACTCTTTAGTAAAAGGATACGAGTACGGAGGGTGGCATACGTACCGAAGGATGCCCTTCGGGTCGATGATGAAGAGACCGCGCAGAGCGACACCAGACTCCTCAATGAGGACGCCGTAGTCCCGGGCGATCTTCATGCTCTTGTCCGCAATGAGGGGGAGCTTGAGATCGGGGCCCAGGCCACCCTGCTTGCGGGGCTGCAGAGACCACGCCAGGTGGGAGAATTCGGAGTCGGTGGAGACACCTGCGTAAAAATGTAAGAAGACGGGAAACAACGTTGTCTTCTCCCAAACGTACCGAGCACCTCAGTCTCGAGCTCGTGGAATTGGGGGAGGGCGTCGTTGAAGGCAAGGATTTCGGTGGGGCAGACAAAGGTGAAATCCCTAAACGTTCACGTTGTTAGAAATTCAGATGACATCCTCAAAGAACGTCGGCTTACATGGGATAGAACAGGAGGATCACCCTGTACGACGAAACGCGTCCGTCAGCTTCGTCCAGTGGCAGGCTAACGCCGACAACCAGTCATCAAAACGTACCATTTGCCTTGGTAGTCGGCCAAGGAGACCTCCTTGAACTGCGAGTCAACGACGGTAGTGGCCTTGAAGGCGGGGGCGGGCTTCTGGACGATGGCAACCATGGTGTGGAGGATGTGGACGATGAAGGAGACGGCGCAATCAAATGAAATTTCGCAATTTAGGATGCGGGCGCTATATATAAGTTGTACGCGTTATTTGCTCGTATTGATTTACCGTCCGCAGGCCGATCGCGTCCCGGACTAGTCCGGCCCCGCCCGTTCTCGGCCGACACACCTTGGCTCCTCTCTCCATTCCTGCGGATAATACACAGCTCAAGCTATCTCATATGAGTTCTTGATCAGTCGTAACAGCGTTCCGTTGAAATGCTATCCTCTCCGAATACAATTGCATGAAAGTACAATTGTAGTAGCAATATCGCCGCTGCCCAAGCGCCGTGCTCCCTCCGGTTCGCCCGGAATTTCTCTGAGTTGCTTACGTAGCTTAGTCACTGCACGTGACCGCGAATGCGTGACCTGCCATGATTAAAAATCCAGCGCGATAGAAAACCAAGGAGGCGTGGAGAAGGCTCAAGAACACAAAATGGCCTGATTGTTCTCCTGCACGAGGATGATTGGCGAGCAGATAGGCCCGATCGACGCCGCCGACGTTCAGTATCACTCAGGACCGCACCAGTCGTGCACGGCGCAGCGGAAACGATCTGCTTGGGGAGGACCGAACGATCGTGCTTACAGCGCGGAAGGGGAGACGCGACAGGTCACGCGTAGGCTTACAGATTTTCACCTAACTTCTACAAACTTTTTACGTTGCTCCCAGTCCTCCTTCAATCTTGACTCGACGATGGCGTCAAGCTCTCGTACCCTGCTCACTGCTACCTCCTTGATCAGCGGGAGGATCTCATCCTCGGTAAGGGGCACTCCTCCAGCCTGGTCAAAGAGTGAATAAAGCGTGTCGTCACGACTAACCCATAAAAGCCCTACCTTCTGGACCACACACAGTTCCCTCTGGGCGTTCAGAGCGACATGTAAGAAGCCTGTGGCCAGTCTGGATTCGAGCAAGGACGGGTCCAGGACTGTCGTAGTTTTCGTACTCGATGTCGAGGTTGCCGTTTTTGATGAGGATTCGGGAAAGAACGCAAAGGTGAGACATAATGGTGTATGATGTAACGATAGAGGGAGAGGGGCGCGTTCCGTCGGGGGATGCTACGGATTGACAGATGAACGTAAGATCTAAAGGGTGAGAGCAGAGAAGGCTGAGTGGGCGTACAACTGTCACCTCATCGCCTACTACTTCCACTTCGGGCCGTCGGAAGTGTTTAAGGGCGACGATGCCCGCCAGACACGCGCAGTCGAGCATATTGCCCGCATCCGCTAGGCAGTGCACCGTCAAGCGCAGATGCCAGACCTGAGCAGTCACGCTCGTCACTAAGTAAAGGATAAGCTGAGTCAAACGTACTCTCTGTCCAGCGAGTACGCATAGCGACTCCTTATCCACCGCGTCACTCCTCCGTAGAACTTTGTCTAGCATACGGGTAATGGTGACCTCCTCTTCTGACGTTCTGTCGGGGTGAAACTAAGTCAAGCGTAAGTAGTGCAGCCGAAGGTACACATACCTACCGACCAGGTTCATACTCGGGCGACGCCATGGGGGAAATCTCGGAGTGTATCGTGATGATGCCCTCATACGGACGTTCGGGGGGCGGCTTCACCATTTTGGCATCAACAGCAGCGTATACCCTATCCTTGCATATAATTTCTTGGTCGCTCTTGAGTAAAGAGGCGACTCTGCTTACCTTGTCTTTCCGAAAGAACATTCAACCCAGCCTAATTCTTCCCCAAAAGTAATCGTGGGTTTGCGCATCTCAAGCAGTTGGCGGCCATCAAGTCTCAGCGACTGCGTCAAAGAGGTAAATATGAACTCGCGTTCGGGTATTGACGGTGAAGGGGGTCGCATTGTTGCAGTTACAGAGGCTTTTCAGTCAGACTGTCCGAGCGGTGCAGAAGGACGATTGGAAGTGTCACGTATCAGGTGACTGTGACCTTCACGCGCAAGATGCGATAACGCTGGTTCTCGCCGTTCTCGAGGTTAGGGTTACAAATGTCCGTCTTCCTCTGCCCCTTGCTTTGAGGCTCTCACGCAACGTTCTTACGATGGTCCGACTAATAACCCATAACTTGCTAGCCTGTCACGTCAAAGGCTGTAATACGAACAATTTTCCTCTGCAATTCCAAGATGTGCAGATAGAATTGAGGGAAGCGGACTTCAATGCCGATTTTCTGCGCGGTTTCCTACCTAAGATCGAGTGGAATGCGTTGGTAGATGCGGCCAGACAAGTGAGTGTTTCGTCCAAGCGTAGTGCCGCGAATTCGGGCTTTGCTGCAGGGGACATCCGTTGTTCTCTGTAGACTGATATGGACCCTGTTGGTTATTTCCAGCTCGGCGACACCTCCTTACCACAAGAGCAGCCGACCATGATCGACGATGACTTTCTGAAAGCACTGCATCATGTCCTACTGGAGGCAAGTCCTCTTTTTGATCGCTGCTCGTGAACGTTCTCGAATTTGCACCGGTAGATCCATGTTGAAGAAGGAGCAATGGTGTGCCCAAACTGCAAACACGTCTACCCGATTGCCAGCGGAATTCCGAATATGGTGTGTCATATCTCTAGTGCTGCACATTTCATGACTCACTGAAGATCCTTCCGTCTCAGCTGCTGGCGGAGCACGAGATCGGCTGATGTATTCGGTTCTCTGTCCCTTTAAGAGAGGAAGGCGAATAAAATGATCAAAATGGCTACCTCAAGTGGGTTGGGATGAATGAGACCACCTGGCCATCTCCCGACATCAAGCTGATGCTGCAGACGTCCCGAGCACCCGACGTTCAATAGTGGTGGCTCGCAGCAGACACATCCTCACCGGCACTCGCGGCTGTACTTTGAAGGGTTGATAGCGTAGGTAGCAAGTCATAGTTTATGTCGCAAAGATGGTTATATTATCAAGATGTACCGGGCATGGTAGAAGTTCGATTTGACGAGAAAATATATAATAACGGCATCTGCAGTCACGTACATATTGTACAAAAACTCGAAAATGCCGGGGCGAGGAGTGGCACGTGCACATTATTGAGGCGCGCCGTGGGGACGCGTCAAGAGCAGCGTCAAGCCTGCGTCTGCCGGCCTGTGGACAAGCCAGAGAGACGTCGACACCAGCGAGCACCGACGTCTGCTTGCCTTCTGCCGATTATGCTTGCGTCCACGCTACGCAAGGCGCCGTCGTCATCTGCAATATGCTGGGCTCGCTCTGTCAACCTGTATCGGGCGAGGGCTTTCTCGAGCACTCCCAGACCGCATCTCAAAGCCTCACTCCCTGTACGGGCAAGATACGTTAGGTTCGGAGAGGAACCTGGCTCGGATCAAGGACTGTATAACACTGCAAAGCGATGGGACCCTCGAGTACGGTGGGCCGTGGGTCTCGGGAGTGTCGCTGTGGTCTACTATGTTTCGCAGTAAGTAACTCTGTTTTGTGTCTCCTCATCGCGGTAACAGAGGGCTGCGGTGAAGTCTGGAGCAAGTGCCAGAGACGGGTCGTTGGAGGTTTATGGACGTTAATCCTAATATGGAGACCAAAGTCAGTGCCAGCTACTTCCTATCGGTACCTGGGGTGATGCCTTGCAGTGGGCTGTATCTTGGCGAGTCTGGGGTTGGGGCGCCCATTGTGGCTTGCCCTCAGCTAATAAGACTTCATTGGTGACGTTTGTTCGCTTTTCAACGAACCTTTGGTCTGTCGCCGTGCATATGCATGCGAAGCTTGGACAATTGGTGTAGCCGCCACGGTACAGACCATTGCAGGCCTGACAGTTGCCCTTCAGAGTCAGTGCATTGACATCGTACTTCACGTTTAGCTGGCCGGGATGATCCACGAGCAAATTCTCCGGGAAAATAAGGGCAAGATCCTTCCCGCAAACCATCCGGTTACGAGAAAAGTGCGCGAAGTCGCAGAACAACTATTACACGCGAACAATCTTGGCCATTTATCAGACGACAAGGAGAGACGTCCATATTCCGCGGTGCCTCCATGGCTCGCTGATGATACGAGTGCGGACTGGACGTATGATGCAAGTGTGAGCAGTGAACGGCAAGGGCTGGCACCCGGTGCCGGAGGGAGGGAATGGAAATTAGTCGTTGTCCATGATCCTCGAGTTGTCAACGCTGCCGCTACATATGGTATGCATGTATGATATATGCCAAAGATCAGGATTGCACAGAGCTGATGATCCGAAACTATAGGAAATATCATCGTGTACACGGGTATTTTCCAGGTATGCAGTACAACGGACGAGTTAGCTGCAGTGCTTGCTCACGGTATGTCTTCGTTACCCACAGTCGTCCCTCGCCAATGACACCCTGCTTTGCTCGTAGAAATGGGACACGTAGGCATGCATAGCCCCGGCTAGCTTCCCAGAGAGCGCCCCGTCTCATGATAGCTTGTCTTCCAGTTGCAAGACACATGTCAGAACGCTACTCGTTTTCGAAGTACCTCTGGGGTTTTGCATTCCTCATCAACGCCGTAACTGGAGTCGGTTTCGGATTCTCTGAGATGGCAGTGAACGTTGTTCTAGGCCTGCCTATGGGACGCAAACACGAATTAGAGGGTGTGTTGGTTCAATCACTCTTGCTCATCCAGATCCCGATCGTTTGGCAGCGGATAAGATCGGTGTGAAACTTGCTGCAAAGGCTTGTTTCGACCCGGAAGGCGCTGTATCGTAAGTACAACAGTCGGAAGGCCCCTGGACGCGCTGCTGGATATGTCCCCCCTAGGATGTTCCAGAAACTCTCCAAGCATTCACCCGATTCAGTAGAATTCCTGCAGACGCACCCTGCTGGAGCGAGACGTATCAAGGTACGTGTTTTTCTGCGCCATCGCCTGCGATTGATTGTGACCGGGCTTCATCTTGCCACCACACAGCAAGTGCAAGATCAATTGCCGGAGGCGTACAGGATACAGGCTGCTACCCCAGAGTGCGCGCAGGTACGGGACATGGTGTACTCGATGGCGAAATTTGGTGGGCGTGCTATGTGGTGAGACGGGCGGCGAAGGACAGAGTATCTGCGTTGACGAGGTATTGAGGGGTGAGCGCCTCCTACAGCCTAGGATTTGAAGTGCGTCGAGTTGATCCTGTCCGGTTTGCTTTGCAAGATTCCTGGGCAACTCTCTAGCAAGTAGCGAACTGCAACCGGCACTGTATTATACCAACGCTCCTTGTATAAGCCACGCATCCTTACTCTCTGATTCGGATCAGCTGCTACTAGGTGCTGGTGCAGTACCATTGTCAGCGGTGGCGTAAGCCAAATGACAGACGTTATGAGAGCTTTGGGCCCTGGGGAGTCGGTTTTACACGTAATGGTCCAAAGGCTCCCCGTTGATCGTGCGTCTGCTGCCTGTTCAGCCTCAACGCGCAAACTGGAGCAAGCTGAGGAACAGATGACGAGCGAGGTTCGTGGCATTTTACACCTACTTATGACATCTTGCTCATATGTTCGTGCTCTCGCCTGCCTGCGAGCCATGTATCGCGACGTTGGAAATCTGGACTTTGTCCCTTCGGACTGGCGAGGTACATGGCCATCATCGTATGGTCAGGAACAGATTCCGCATGCACGGGAACAGGTTGGGAAACGGATGGAACTTGCGTGCAAGGAACTTTCTGGAGCCTTTTGCTCGTCAAATTTGTTCTTTGCTGCCTCCATTCGAAGGTTTTTATCCGGCAGCTCTGGAACTCGACCACCGGGATGATTCAAGCGCAGGCGATTCGTAGGGCCCGGAAGAGGAGAATGCGGACTGGATAACCTGATGATGTTCCCAGGGTGAAGCACGAGGCGAGAGCGCGGTAAGTGTAAGTATGTATGGCCGTCCTGTCGAGATTGTCGAGATTGGAATCACGGGCTGACGGAAATTGCACGTACCGGTGATGAATATAGGCAAGTATCCTTATGACTGCCACTCTCTGGTCGGTGATCATGCTTCCACTTGGTCCTGGCCCCATTGAGTCACTGGACATAGACCGACAAAAAAGTGAGTAGTTAACGTTATTATGCCTATTGTCTGGATGGCCCTTGTGTTCGTGAGAGCGCAGAAGCGAGGCTCACGAGGCGCAAGCCCCTTCCAGCTGTCTTGGACTACAGCTCTACCATCTCTGGACTTGTCTGGGAATCGATCAAGTGATCCTTGCGTTCCTCGCTGTTGCGTGATTGAGCGAGGACTTGGGATACTGACGCCTAAGAGCTAGACAAGTATTGCGACGATAAGGCCCCATCCGGGGTCATATAGGAGGTTGATGGGTGACGGTGATTTTGCACTGAAGCCTGTCAGTTACCAGCAAGACGGTATGCCGGACCTGGTTCAAGGTTATGCATCGCATGTGTAGCCGTAGATAAGTTGCGACAAATCATCAAGAGTGAGTTGTTCTGCACCAATCCGAGTTTGATCGAATGCCGGGAAACGTAGGTATGTTTGGGTGCGTATTTGTCCACTGCCCAGTATTACTGGCGCAAACGCTTCAGCACTATGGAGGAACAATGCTCGCGGGTGTTGCAAAGGATCAGCGGTAAAACCTAGGTTTTGGTAGGGCTTTACAGGACCCCTGAAAATACCGATAGATGCCGGTGCAAGACTCGATTTTGTCATGTCCGGACTTTTTCTGGCGGCCCCCCGCCTTTATGTCCGGATAAAATACCGGCCTCGGCCAAGGTCATATTCATGTCCGGACTATTGCCCCGGCCTCTAGGAAACAGCAAAAATCACCCGTTGTAGTCCACAAGTCATTCTAGACACTAGATATATATACTAGGGTGTATGAAAACCTGAC